AGATGTAAAGCATAGAATTTAAAGCATAGAATATTTTCTGAGTATTGGCGAATAGTTGGATGTAATAGCGATAGGGACGGTTGAGGAGCACCCATGCGTCGCCGCCACTCACATTGACGCACACACTGCAAGCCATGTAAACGGCGCACCGCAGTGTGAAGTCTTGGCTTTCTGTATTATCCGAATTACACATACTGCCATCCGTCTGTCAGTCGATTCCTCAATGTAACTGATCCGATGTCCGCCTAATAAAATTAGGTCCGATTTAGAAGACTGCGGTGAAAAGTCTTTAGCTAAAACAACAAAAGTACACACATAGTACGTACATTAATCATATGTTATACCTTCGGCATATTTCATAGCTGGACATCTTTCGTTCTTGTTATTCTATTTTGCCCAACCAAAGTGATCCTGTTACTTCTCAGAAGTTAGTGACCACAACATATGTAGTTCATCCAACGTTAAGTACCTTGGTGTATATTAGGCAACGTCCATCACGATCAACACATGATCTGCAAGGTGTGAAAATTATCACTGCATGCCCTAGAACTCAGACTTTTCAGTAAATCTGAAGAGAAATATCGAAAGACTTAAGATGTGAGATGATCCGGTCGTTTCGCGTCTATCTCCTCAGTCATACACCAAGCAAATAACAATTTGAAAATAATCAATGTCGGATGGGGTCGATGGGTGGACAGTTGATGTGCAACTATTACTGCCGTACTACGACCGTAGGTGCAATCTTACTGTCAACTGGTTCTGTATGCACAGAGGCGGCCGCTCGCTATCGATTACCATCACTTTAATTACTTTGAGTATATGCGGCCTTTGGTTACGCATGAGGATATTGAATGTGTCCCTTGGGTTGAGCTGGTGCCCAGTGTTTGGTAGATGTCTCGGGATTGCCGAAGCTATCCTGTCTCTGGATTTACCCGGTTCCACTGTGTGAGATTCCATTCGCTTACGCAACCATTTAGGGCTCTGCTCAGCGATCCTGACACCTGGACTACGGTCGGTGCGCCCAATGTAACCGTCTCCATGGATACAACTACATTTATATAAACAGGGGAACATGCACTGCTTCCTCGCCGAAATCTTCAGTGAGCACATCAGAAATGCTCTGGTCGACGTGAGCAACCGCTAACCTGCCACAGTATACGGCTTTTTCAAAGGGATACTTATCCTTTTCTTGGTGACTTTCATGAAGTGGTCACCTTTGAATGGCAGCTGAATGAAAAGCGGCATCCTCTGGACAGCCGTCATTGAATTAGGTCTCGTTGTGTCACAGACGCGTTTTATGTAAAAGGTAACCATTGGATTTTAACGCGTCGAACAGAAGATATCTTTCTGCTGCTTTCAGCTAGTTTTGGCGAACTAACCGAACTCTAGGCGTCAGGATCAATGAGCAAATCCCTAAATGTTTGCGCAAGCAAATGGGTTCTCAGACCATGGAATCGAGTAAATCCAGAGACAGCATAACTTCGGCAATCCAGAGGCATCAACAAAACACTGGACACCAGGTCAACCCAAGAGATTCATGCAATGTCCTCATGCCTAAACGAAGGTCACATATACTCAGGCTATTTGCATCCATCGTATTCAATCGCGAGCGGCCGCCTCTGTGCATAAAGAAGCAGTTAACAGTAACATGTAGCCTGCCTTGTTAGTGCTATCAGCTAACCACCAGTTGACAGCATCCGACCTTGATTGTTTTCAAATTGGTAGTTGCCTTGTACGTGAATGAGGAGATAGGAACCAAGTGACCGGGTCATCTCACAGCCTATGCCTTCTGATATTTCTGTTTAAACTTAAAAAGGATCTTCTTGTCTGCTCATAATTTATACATTATTGACTTTCACAGTGGCTATGTTTCCTACCTATCCTATTTTAAACTCCTACATACATAGTTCGAATTGGTTGTTCATTTCATTAAGGTTAATTTCATGTGCAATATTTTCCAAGAAATTCTCTGGTTGACCTCATCTATAATAAGCAGTTGGTGTATCTGACAACTTCTAAGTAGATGTTTTAGTTGGTCCACTTTTTACTCTCCGTGCTATGATTTATCTAAAGATGTCTACTATTCGTCTACCCGCTCTGAAATTTAAGTTTTGTTTCATCGCACAATTTTTTATCGTTACGCTAACTTCAGGTTTAGGCTTGTTCTCCGAGCCGAACTATTTCGTCGCAGACGTTTCATCTCCAATCGAGGTGATTTAATCAGTGCATAATAAGCAAAAATTGACCGATGAGAGAGTAATGTTTGACCTTGGCCACTTCGATTCACGTCCTGTGACTATTACTATTTCGCAGTTCGATCGCTGCCTCTTTTAATGAATGACCCACCTTAACTTCTTTACTGTAGTTGATGGTTGATCGGGTCTAAGTCAATGGGCAGGTTTAGTGAGTATTCCGTAGAAAACCACAGTTCGAGATAGTCTCTTTTTCTTCTTATCTTTCTCTTTGCTAGGAGATCGGCCTTCTCCTAATCAAACATGTGCCCTTCTTCGTCAACGTGTATCGAGACCAGTGATGATGAATATTTGTTTCGACAGGCTCGCTTGTGTTCTTGTAACCTTATAAACCACATTCTTCCTGTTTAGCCCACGTAGAGTTTATCACAATTGTTACACTGTGTCCTGTAGACAACCTTCCGACTTTTATGTGCTCCCGTCTTCCCCTTCAGTTTAGATAGGGTTGCTTTCACAGTACCGATTGGTATGTGAGCTGACAACATGCGGTAATGCTTGAGGAGTCGAGCAGTCATTTGTGAGACGTTTTTGATGTCGCGCCAAGTGATCCGTTTCGTTATTGTTTGTTCAGGTGTAGTATTTGTAGTCTTGCAGGTTATGTATCTTCGGATGAAACTGTGTAAATATTCATTGCGCCTGAAGGATGTCAACAGATGGTATCCTTCTTCTCATTCTGCTTCCTCAGTATTATAATGTGATTCTATGCTGCGAAACAAGGTTCGTATGCAGCTGATTTCGTGACATTTTGGGTGGTTGTTGTCGAAATTTACGATTTGATCTGTGTGCGTGTCTTTTTTGTGAACTGATGTTCGTAGTTCCTTGTCCGCTGTTCTAGTTACCAGTACATCCAAGAAAGTTACTTCGTTTTCCACTTCTCTCTCCATGGTGAAGTGAATGTCATTGCATCGTCCAGCAAGCCTTCTGCGATCTGCAAGTTGCTGCGTTTATGTATCATAAACGTGTCGTCAACATATCTGACCCACAATTTCGGATTCAAAACTGGGAGTAAATTTTCCTGTAACGATTGCTTGCCGATCCCTGCAATGAGTCCAGATATAGGGGACCCCATTAGGACTCCTTTCACTTGTTACTAAAATGTTCCATCGAAGTTAAAATATGGCGTAAGACACAGGTCAAGAAACTCGCATATACTGTCGGTCGTCAGTTTTCCAATGGTTTCTCTACCAACGTTCCGCTGTTCTCTGATGTTTTCTTTCACCACTTTTAGTTCGACAGAAGTGAACAGGGCAGTAAGGTCGTAGGACACCATTATTTCTTCATGATTGGTTAGCAGTCATTGGAGTTTCTTCAAAAATGGCTGAGCAATGTTTACGGAATACGGTGATCCACTAGTCAGATGTTTAAGGCGCCTCCATAATTCTTTAACCAAGTTGTAGGTGAGCTTAACAGGGCATGACACGATTGACAGAAGTGGTACATCAGTTTTGTGCACATTCGGAAGCCCCTAGAATCGGGCAATGTTTGAGTCACGAGCTTTCATTCTATCGTGCTCTTTATCTGCGAGCTGCTTCGAAGCATTAAGTCTTCTTACGACCTTATTTATTTTGTGTGTTCATTGCACAGTTGGATCGGTTACCAAGCAGCGGTATGTTGTACTTTCGTTTACGTGGTTCCCGGTCTTTTCAACATATTCTGTTTTATGCATTATAACAGTCTTACGCTTTTCGGTTGCGGAGTGGATCACGATAGTTTCATCAGCCTTTAAGGTTCTCATTGCTTTCTTTTCTTGCTGTGATAAACACTATGTGGGCCAAACAGGAAGAAAGTCGCCTACAAGGCTAAAAGAACACAAGCGAGCCTGTCGTAAGCAACAAACATCGTCACTGGTCTCGACACACATTGACGAAGGGCACATGTTTGATTAAGAGAAGACGGAGCTACTAGCGCAGAGAAAGACAAAAAGAGGAACAGAATATCTCGAAGTGTGGTTTTCTACGGACTACACAATAAACCTGCCCATTGACTTAGACCCGATCTACCATCAACTACAGTAAAGAAGTTAAGGTGGGTCATTTATTACATGAGTTTAAAAGAGGCGATGATCGAACTGCGAAATAGTACTATTCACGGAACGTGAATCAAAGTGGCCGAGTTCAAACATTACTCTCTCAACGGTCAAATTTGGCTTATTACGCATTGAAGAAATCACTACGATTGGTGATGGAACGTCTGCAACGAAATAGTTCGACTCGGAGAACAAACCTAGACCTGAACAGACAACAAGAGTTACAGGTATTCCGCATTATTACTAATCACTCTACCCTGCCGTTTTGATCACCTTTACTTCTGAGTCTTAAAAGATCTTATCAGTACTATGCGCGAAAGCTTATTTGAGCGGCGTTCATGCAACTCTAGGCGTTTTACAAGTTGAATGCAAGTTCAGGTCGAATTTATGGCCCATTACTTCCGCAGTGCTACTGCAAAATGCTGAAAATTATCCCAGTCAGATGCATGAGACAGATTTCGACTAGATTTGACTTACAAACTTTACTCGCCACTACTGTAATATGTTTGTGTTATCGTCTTAAGTGCTTTCTGAGTTGTTAAGATTTCAGGCACAGGAAGGAACTGTGTTTCGCGCCTCGTTTTTTGAGGAAACCATACCAGACTGCATGCAAACATGCTAGGCTCTCGAAACCTAACGGGTGTTGTGATAACGGCTGTACTTGTTAGCAAATATTTGGTTTTAACACACCTCTTTTCTCCATCTTCTATTTTCAGGTGTGGCACCTTGTGATCTTTGGATAATAATGGACGTGTTATGCTGTACTGCATCTATTCTACACCTGGTTGCCATAGCGATCGATCGTTACTGGGCTGTGACGCGACTGCAATATCTCCGAAGCCGAAACGAGAGGCCCATCATATGCATGATCGCTGTTGTGTGGATCACATCACTGGCTATTTCGTTACCAACTCGGTTTCATAGCTCACGGAACATGTATGATGTGTTGGTCAAAGGTCAATGCCGCATTAACGAAGAATATGGTTTTACCATTTTCTCCACACTGGGTGCATTCTACTTCCCTATGGGGTTTCTAATCGCTGCTTATGCAAAGATATATCAGGCAGCTCGCGCACGAATTAGAAAGCGACAGTTTCGGAAGCCACATGAGTTAACACTTAAAGCAGGCGAGGAAGCTTGTGTCACAAATTGGGTGCTCAGTGAATCTACTGTCCTATCAACCAATCCTGTCGATTGTGCCCGGTGTTTTCAGACTTGTCCTGCTGAGTCACCTAAACGAACAGTGCGAAGTAGCACCAATGCTCGGTCAGCAATGTGCATCTCGACGGAGCAAGAGACTTCTGCTACAGGCAATGAAGATGTCTTGTTAGATTCCAGCTTTAGCCCGTTTTCAGCCGACACACGGCATTCAGATGGTTTTCCAAAAGCTTGGAAGGAAACCGATCAATGCAGTCACAATTCCACAGGTGAATCGGAAAGTTCCGATACCATTCTAAACTGCACATCTTATAAGAATGAGCTACGTTGTTTTCGAGTAAATGATGACAACGCCTCCTCAATATCCACAATAAACGAGAGCAACTCCTCCAGCAAAAGTGTTTCCCCATCGTCTCAATGTGGTGTTCATTTGTGCGTTTCATGCTCTAATGCGCTTTACAATGTGCACGCGAGTACTCCGGATGCTGTCAACACAAGAATGTCACTGAACAGAGGAATGAAAGAGAACTTGAGAGAAAAAGATCTATTCAGGAGGTCAATTAGAACTTCAACGTGTCCACAACCTACCCGTGAATCAGTTGTGGAAAAAACAAATCATGTACATAGGAAATTTTTAAGTTCTACCAGTTTGATGATCTACTCAAATACTAATGCGAGTGAACTCGCACCGAGATACGCTGTCTATTCTATCCCCAGTCCGTTTTTAACCGAATCTGATAGTGGCCGGCTGAATGTTTGGAGTAAGTCTAGCCTAGATTCAGATACGCCTGTGATTGTTGATCACCTGGACTTAGTTACAGCCAACACACAGATCAAATCACTGCCCGAATCCCCTTACCTACCATCCGGTACGAGCAGCTTGAGTGCACAGTCAAGTGGTTGTAGTATCTGCCTTAGTAACATGTCCGCCAGTAACCATCACCAAACTCTTCAGTCAAACGGATCGTTAACGTTTCCAGGGTCAGTTGACCTTCCGAAATTGAAGATAATGCCAAATCATACAACTCCACAACAAGGTAAGTCAGATTTTTCACGTGACACAAAGTTAATCGAACAAGAACATCTTACTACATTGAAGCTAAACGTCACAAATACTGCGACCGTGTTATCAAACAACAATGTTTCTCATGGCGGAGTGTTTCATCACACTGGAAATACGTATGGAAAACAAATGTCGCCGAAAAGTGAGACCCATGCAATGATTTCTCGGTTTTTTGAACGTCGTATGGCGCATGCTAAACTGCTCACGAGGCGTAATACAGTTCAAGAGATGGAGGACAGCAAAGAACGTATGGAAAATCGGCGCGAACGCAAGGCGGTTCGTACACTGGCCATTATCACTGGCTGCTTCATCTTGTGCTGGCTTCCGTTTTTTGTCAAGGCACTTGCTGTTCCATTCTGTGCACCAGTCTGTTCTGTGCCTTCTGTGGTGGAAAGTCTGTTTCTCTGGTTGGGATACCTGAACTCTCTGCTCAATCCGGTATTGTACACAGTATTTTCCCCAGAGTTCAGGATGGCCTTCAAAAAGATTATTTGCCGACTTGTGGGACATAGGTTTGTTCGATAATAAATAAAACATTGGTTGAAGTTCAATGTGTTTGATTTTGTACACCAGATCTTCTGTCGTCCATGATAGGAAGCGACGTATGCGGCGATGCCTTAGAAGAAAAGGCATTACTTCTCTACTAAAGCGTGTATCGTGCTAATCTATCCAGGGATTCAGTCCGAATGGAAAAGAATAAGCAATCTACTATGGTGCTGCTCAAACACCATGCTACCGGGATTTGGTTTGCGTCAAGAAGTACGATTCTAGCGACCACACCATCCATTACACTATATAATGGGGGATTCATTTCGAACGTATACCGGGTAGCTCAATGCGTTCTTGCACTCGTCGTGAAAAATAATTCGCTATTATGTACATATTATTCAGCTAAACGTTACCAAATGAACTTAAGACAGATTCAGCAAAGAAATCAATAATTTTAAATCCCAAACCTCTGTCCCGTGTGCTACGGATAGACCCTTGTACCATGGTGGTATAATTGCTATCCGACAATTAGGAGGGGCTTGGGCCGTTTCGTTATGAAATAGCAGGACAACAGTCAAAGCATCCATTAGGCGTAATTGTAGGAGCGAATATTAAGGAACGTTCTGTAAGCGAGTAAATTTCACGTGGGAACAATAAAGTCACTATTGGAAGTCAACTCGATCGAGCTCATATATAGCTGCCGTACGCATCGATGTTGGCTGTGTTTCTACATAAATCTATAAGGGTAACATCCACCACGGGTGTAGTTATAATTTATGCTAGATTGTTGATCATACAATTGGCAAAGTGAATCCGTCTAGCGCAGTTAACTAAATGTCCGTTCGTACCGCGTTTTTGTGAAGCTGGTGAAGTGCAGGTCTTAAGCGGACTATGTCGCCTTCCTGTAGGCGGAAATCTTAGTGAGTGCGTCATCCTGCGGCTGATAAGGATGTCCAAGTATGGCAGACATTTGCTCTGGTCCAATTCAAAATTACCGGCCAAGAACACCAACGATCACAAGAATGTCTTGTAATCCCCGGACAAGGATTTTGAGCCGGCGTAGGGAGCGGGCCACCCACGCAGCAAACTTGGCCGACGTGCGACGGTTGATGGTTGCACGGAGACGAAGAGTCGGTACCGCGTACTGGCTTATTGCTGATGCCTTGCCCTCCACTTCGCAGGTGAAAGGCAAAATTTCATGTCTGCCGTTAAGTTGCTTTACCAAATGCACCTTTTATAGCTACAATATACAAGACCAATATGTAATCGATATAACGCTTGTAGCATCATAGTTTGGCTGTTGCTGTAGAAATGCTTATTTGTATCATCACATACATATATATATATATACTCGACGGAACGAGACGACGCTTTACACTTGGTCATTCCACAAAGGACCAAGTAGATTAGTGAATTAAGTAATTACCGGTTAATTCTCTAACGGTCCAATGCATAGTATAACTAGGTCGTCTGATCAATCTGTACATGGAGGTCGTATCCTTCGGGAAACATACCCATTTATTTATTTAGTTTGTTAGTTATGTATTGCTTGATACGCCGCATTGTGGTTTCAAGATGAAATTGTCCAAAATCCCCGCCCCTTTGAAATTCTGTGCTCCCTCAGGTCGCCGGGTTCCTTAAAAGGTAAACTTTTACTTGTCTTGTGTCACCGGTTAGAGTTCGGATTAGTCTTCACAGTTATGTTACTTCACTCTAATCCCCGTTTCCTTGTTTTTGTCAAAATTTTTGCAATAAGCCGCATGAAGCTATGAGTTTACACAGAGCTACAGCTCTAGGTGTTCAAAAACAAATTTTTGTCAGCCTCGATGCTGTCATGCACACAGTGCCATAACCCTACTACATAATGAGTCACGCCAAACCCGTTGCAAAAAATTTGATAAACGCTAGTACTATAGAAACTGGATTTCTGTATCCCGTCGACTCGAGATAATTACACACGAGTAAGCGTTGTCCTTGCTATTTTTTATTTTCTTCTCGCCTATTATGTGATCAATAACCACTCCCCTTACTGCTTTGTGTGCGTACATTCTCATTTCAAACTCCCTTTATACGGCAGTGCAGTTAAATCTGTAATCGCCCGATCTGACGACTCAATACAGCTTGGTCTATCTTTTATCACTCTAAACACCCTACGGGACATGTCAAACACCTGCTTTTTTATCTTTTATAAATCAATGTTGATTGTTCAAATGATTGAAGTCATCCTGCACAAAATATCAAACTCGCCTCCCTGAGACTATGTCTGCAGATTGTGCTCCATTGGTCGGTATCTGCAGCATATCGGTAGCGAATGTGAACAGCTGAAGACAAACGCATTCGCCCCACACCCCTAAGCGTATTTATTTGGAGTGAATATTTACCTAACTCTGCGGTCGTTGGCCTAACTTTGATGTGTTTCGCTTGCTTGTTTACACTTATTTTACTGTATTCTCTATTTGGTAAGCTAGCGAGTGACGTCATGATGACATTTTATAACCATGTCCGCAATGTTTTGACGAAAAATGTTTGCGACAGTTGCAACCTCGCTGTTTTTTGGAAAGTTAAAGACATGTTTTGTCATAAATAGCGCTCCGGTGCTCCGCTTTACTCAGCAGGCTGTAGCGATCGTGTCTTATTTACTACTGGGTTACTAATTTGGGGTCCACTGAGCAACCACAGTGGTTAAACACCCGTATTAAGGTGAGAAATTTCGATTTATTTGCATGCCCACTATAACTAGGGAAGGACTGCGTTCCATATCACTGCGGCACTTAATTTTAAACACGATGAAACCAGATCATACGTATCATTGTGGCTAATCTTCTACTATGAATTGAGCATCAGAGCGTCATAACCTTGTTTTAGAATAAATTAGTCTATCCGTGCGCACTTTAAATTTACTGTCACGGTGCTACATGGCTCAAAATTGTCGGTCAGGATAATAGTTTCGGCTGCATTTCATCCAAGCGAAAACTACCTTAGAATGCAAGGACGCACGGGTTTATGGTTTCGTGCCTTAACTAATTGACTTATTACTAATCTTGTCAAACTGGTAACCCAACAGTTTGTTAGCATTGACGCACCGTTTAATTATCCGGTATTCTCAGATTTCTCTTACTGTACATATCAGGGGACGTAACATACCTGCAGTGAATTCGAGGTACTATAAGTTGGTAATGCCACTTTTAAAGACAAAATGCCTATAGTTTGGTAGTTAATTGCTACCAGACTTAAGCGGACAGCAATCGCTTATCTACAATGGGTTTTAAACGGTAGTTTAATCCTAATTGGACTCTCTAGTGGCGCGTATCCGCTGGATCTTGCTAGTTTCGAACCCCTGACCTTAAAAGCACGAGCCGGCGGTTAAATACACTAAACCATTGATGACATCAGCGGACAGTCATGAATGATTTCGGACTACAATATTACCTAGCTCATTCTCTACTGACATGTATGTTACGAACTTGCAAAGGACAGCGCTGGCCCACAGAACTACAATTAAATTTACAAGGCGCCATCAATTGAGGTTATTCGTAAGTTACTTTGGCGAATACTGATTACTAAGGAGTAGAAAGCGGATTTATTGTGTTTTTGAAAAGACTCGTCCAATCAAACATCCATCACCCATGCAGAAAGGCATTAGACAGCCGTCTCATTCTACCGAGATTTGCCAATAGCGTGCATCAATCGGACCCGAACCGATCGATCTTACGCTCACGAGCCAGCGATTTGAAGCACTGAGCCACTAGTGAAGACTGTGGTCCGAATTGAAGAAGGTTTTGCCTATGATCTGTCATTGCCCTAAGACTGTATAAAGTGAAACACAGTGCTTTCGAATTTTCCAATGTACGTTGCGTTATTACTTCAACACTGGGCCGTGAAAGGATCAAAATTTCTTCAGAAGAAGCGAGGAAAATTAATGCCTAAATTTGGCGGGCGTAAAATGGTCATTGAAGAATTGAAGCACTGTCTCGTCATTGCAAAACGTAACGTTGCTATAAACATGACGAATAAAAATTTTGTAAGCCTCCTGTCAAAAGTAAAGTACCTGGGCGAAAATAACGAACAAAACCAGGTAGCGACTTAGCGTATACCTCATTTGATTTTCTCAATGTGGCGCTGTCCATAGTTTCAATTAGTCAAATCAAGTCGTTAAAGTAAGCTTTATGTACCCGGATGGGTACAGTTTCACCGAGTTCATGTTTCAAAAATGCAAAAGTTTTTATAAATGAATGAAGACAAGGAAAGTGAGTGTGATGGTTTCACTCGAGTACATTTATTGAAATTCTTGTACACTGAGAGCGTCTTGAGTAACTGAATTCTCGGGTTTCTACCGGCAGTCCGAGAGAACTTTACGAAGGCATTTCTTCATGAATTTTTCAACTGGTCCAAAAGTACTTGGCCAAGAGCAACAACTGGCTGACGGTCCGCTTTATCTCTACGTATTATTCAAAAACTGGTGAGTTAGACGGCCTCGGTGACCATGCTAGTGCTTTAGACGAAGTGTTGTCAACATATTCCTACAAAACTTATTTATCCTCAGTAGACAAAGTAACAGTATAAGACAAAGTAAAATGTAAACGCCATTAGTTTTAACGGAAAACAAGAAAGCAATTTTCTTGCAACTTCCGTACAAAGTGAAAATCGTGACAGAGATTCTTAACCATCGTCTATCGCAGATTAGACATACTTGCCTGGCCGCAAAGTTACAGGCAAGCTTCACCACACACCGATGTTGAAGCTCAGTCTCAAGGATAGTAGACTTGTCCACGCTAACTCCTTGTGCATATATTCATTCACCAGTTCCGGTTGGGCAGAATACATTGGTCATACAACTAGGTGTCTATCCACGAGAGTGAAAGAGTACAGTACCGCATGTCTAACGGCTGGAATCAGATGAGGAGGCAATTCCTCCACAGCTGCTCACCTCGCAGACGCACGGCACAATCCCAAACCAGCCGACGAATTCAGCATTATCACATGGCCCGTGATAGTCAATGGAGACATATTGTTAGAAACCAAGGGGCAGGCGGTAA